ACGAATATTACTTAAAGCAGGATAAAAGATTAAGGGATTGAGACAATCAGAACAATGCGATATGTAATATAATTTAGATGTACATTCAAAACATACATAATTTACTATTGACTATCCTACAATTAAAATGAGGCGATCCTTCCTCTTGGTATTTGTATCTAGTTCTTATCTGCCCATAATAGTCGAAAGCATTTGGCTGTGTGTGTATTTGTGAGCTTGTGCGCGGCCAAGACCAAGGATTGCATATTTTTGAGCTGACGCAGCGTATACGTAATGCGCGTTGGCGATTGAGTGCATTACGTATACGCCGCATCCGACAAGAACTGAGCTCAGATAGTTGCGCACATTATGCAAACTTGGCAATAAAAATTCAATTAAGTTACAAGGACACAATGTCAAGTGGCAAGGCTCGATAAATCAAAAAATAATAAAATAACAACAACGAAAACACAACCACACACACACACACAGCAGGGCAACAAAATTGTGACATGCTGCGCAGCCTATATGACTTTGATGCACGTTTTAATTATAATTTTGACGCCAACTGTTTAAACACGAGCATACACAGCGATAACACATGGCCTCTGTGTGTTGTGTGTGTGTGTGTGTGTGTGTATGTTGTGTATTTGGCTTGTTGTTGCTTTTGTATCGCTTGCACTAATTGTTTCGGACAGGGCCGCATAGAAAATGCTGAGCCGACCAAACTTTCGACTGCTAGCTGAGAAATTGAAAAGCATAAGAGGCAAAAGAGAGAGAGAGAGAGAAAGAGAGAGAGAGTGAGAGAAAAAGAAAGAGAGAGATGGCTCAAACTTAATTGAGGCAGCAGCCAGCACAAAGGACAATAGCCGGCACAAGCCGCAAAAACCCACACACAATTACACTTACACACACATATACACACATACACGATGAAACATAGTCACACACACCAACACACACATTAGTGCCACATATGGTCAACATAAGTCAGAAAACCAAAACGTGCAGCCCATATGATACACAGATCGCCTCTATGCACTTGGCAAAAAATATATATATAAATAAAATAAAATTAAATAAATTTAAAATAAGAAATATTATAGATGAATACTTAGAATTTTATTATTTATGTACTATACTTTATTTTAAATTATTTTGAAAATGTGCTTGTAAATTCATATGCTAGAAACTATATTAATATTTGTTGCTCATTAATTATATAATTATATAATAAAATAATTTAAATGATAATTATAATAATAATATAATAATTAATTAATTTGTTAGTTTATAGATTAATTAAATTTTTTATTATTTTTTATTTCATTTTTGATTTATTCAAATATTTATTTTTTAATGAATTTGCTGAATTTATATATATTTATATATTATTTATCAATAATAATATTTAATAATTACATTTAACAATGCCCAAAAATATTGATTTACTTTTTCTCTTTAATAATAATGAGAATGAGATTAGAACAATATGTATAAAATCCATTAATTATGAGTAATCCGGGAATTTTATAATGCACAGCATCTCTCGCGCCCAATTAGCATTGTTGAAGTCAGGGAGCTTAAGAGCTTTTCGTAAAGTGTAGTGAAAATCAACAACGGCTCAACTTTTCACGGTGTCTCGAGCGTATATATGTTTGTGTGTGTTCGTGCACATACACATACACATGTATATGTATATATGTATATCTACGTTTTCGCCTCAGCATTTCAATAGGGGTGTTTGTTAGATTTATGGCCCCGATGCTATAAGTTTGAGTGAATAAGGATGTCTGTGTGCCGGTGTGTGTGAGTGCGAGTGTGTGTGTGCAAGCTGTACTCAATTAATACACATCAGTGTGACATTAGTGCCATTTATTTGAACAGGCAAGGGAAATAGAGTGGATCAAAGACACAGATATTAGATGAATGTGAATTTGTTTTTGCATTTGAATAGATGGACAAGCTGAGTGGGCGCAATGGGGGTGGGAGGGCGGAAATTGAAGGGAAGGGGAGAGAAGATGGCATGCCCAAATGTAATGCCACATGATGCGACATAATCGCAGCACATTTGCGACACGCCCAACGCACATTTGCGGTATAATTCATCAATAGAGTGCACATAAATTTTCGGTGTCTATCCATCAAATCGTTAACTGAACTTTAAAATGCATAGCAAAATTTATGTGTATTTATCTCGTTCTTTTTATGATAGTGCCCAAAAGAGCGGGAGAGAGAGAGAGAGAGAGTGAGAAAGAGAGAGAGGGAGGGAGTATGCACTGAAATGAGAAACAAGCAAGCAGAAAATAAATTACAGCGACATTTGACTTTAATTTGGCCATAAAATGCGGCACAGCGTGCGCTGCAAGCAGCGCCAAAAACTGTGCGCACTAAAATAAATTAAACGCCAGCTAAACTTTATTTGCGATATAAATAAATAAATAAACGAACGTTCAAATAAATCAAAATGAGAAGCAAACCAGAAAACTTGAGCTGAAACTGATACAGCTACAGAAACTGGGCAAAGAGTTGAACTCAATTTTGCAAATGCCTGCGAATTGCTGAGCGTAAATCGAATGCATTTGAAGCATTTGCAATTGCCAGCAAATACCTCTCAATTAATTACTAATCAGAGGTGAACGGACATGAAACTGAAATTAATTATGCAATTGAAATGCACTGCAGCTACAGCAAGAATTTGATCGAAAATCGAATTTTTAACGGAATTTAAATAGAATACTTTATAGATATCTAAATTCTAACAGAATTTGATAAATATTTAGATAATACCTGTTTTTTAGATACTTTATCTGCCCTAATTTAATATCTGCTTTATTAAATTAATTCATTATATGTTATATGAATATGTGATTGTTATATAAATATATTTAACAGAGTTTACTAAAAAGGTTCATTACTTGTTTTATGCTTGACAAAATGTATAAGTATTATTAAATTTAATAGGCTTAATAAATAAAACTTTAACCATACAATAATAAATAAATTTACTTTTCGAAGTAAAATAGTAAAAAAAAAAATTTTTTTTTTTTATTTTATTTTTATTTTTATTTTTTTGTATGCAGAAAACTGAACTATGACTTAAGTCAACTTGATATATTTTTTATTTTGTTTTATTTTATTTATTTTTTATTATTAAACTTTTGTATGTCTTTTAAAAATACCTTAGGTTTTTATTGTTAATTGAACCAAAATAAAATGTGGTATATGAAATTACTACGTCTCAAATACTATAAAAATTTGCTAAATTAAAATTGATTAAAAGTGAATTGAAGAAAAAAATCCACTGTTTTAATCAAAATTTTGTATTTAAGTGGCGCTGAATGATAAGTATCGCAAAATGCTACAAAAACCAATTGTCTTAGCTGAAACTTCATAAACACTTTAAATGATATCAATTTTATATCAAATATTTTGCTTCGATTTCATTAAGGAATATCTTATCAATAGTGTATTTTAACTGTGCTACTACTTCGACCCTTTTCCTTTTCAGCTTTTAGCGATTTGACTATAATTATTTTTCAAACCAATTGCCAAAATTTAACTAATGAATTATTTAACATTTAAAGTACGCCTTAAGCTGCCAATTTGCGAACATCTTAATTATACACTTTTATCACCCACTCTCTCTCCCCCTCTCTCTCTCTCGCTCTCTATCGATGCTCCGTAAAACTTTCGCTATCTCATATTGCTTATTACTTTATCTACGGCCACGAGCAACAAAAATTTATTTATGCATTTCAATATACATATAATAATATAAATAGAGTGAGAGAGAGAAAGAGAGAGAGAGAGAGAGAGAGAAGTGCTGCTCTGACATTCTATAGCCTAACTGGAAATAAAGTTTTGAATTACAATTGGAAATTGTAACATTTTAAGCACATTTCAGGCAACTCAACTTGAACAATCGGGTTGACCTTTTGCAGTGCCAACTGTGCGACTTTCAGCTGTCAAACTGCATAGTTTGGCTGCAGTAGCCCAAGCAGCAGGAGCAGCACAAGCAGCAGGCGAAGCAGCAGCAGCAGCAGGAGCTCTGCCAATTGGTCCCTTGACCTGCTCTACTGCTGCTTGCTCAGTTCTTCGTCGTTGCCAAAAAAGAAAAATAAATAATCATAAAATATTTCAACTTGAAATTGGAGTGACTTGAACAGAAGAACTATGTCACAAGTCTGAAGATTAAGATACGTTTCATTAGAGCCCATGGCATTGAGTGGGTTTTAGTTAAGATAACGGGAACTTTATCAATAGACGGGCTATTTATGCTACACTACAACAAAAGACTGCAGTTAATGGAAACATAACGGTCCAGCTGCTACAACAATAACAAAGAGGAGCAGCAGCAGAAGCTGAAATATGTTTACAAATAACCTCACATAACATTGTTTTGCTTACCATTCACAAGAATTGAATTGATAAGAATTGAAATAAAAAATTCAATGAATCTCGGCGGCAATTAAACTCAGTACGCAAACAAATTTTGAATACGATATGTTTTATTGTTGTTTTTTTTTTTTGTATTTTTTATAAACTTATTTTTTTAGTTTCGCCAGTTTATGGATATTTAATGTACGCAATTATTAACACAATATTCTGATTTTTCATTTTTATTTATTTTTTTTAATATAATTTTTTGTTTGGTTTCATTTCATTTTCAATTGCACAAATGTGTTTCAAAAATACGCTTTGAAAATTGAATTTTTGAATTTTTATTCAGTTGTTAATTATTTTCAAAAATACACTCACACACAAACACACGCATTCACACACACGCGTCCGCACACAAACAGAGCCGTTATGTTGCGAAGCGAGGCGCACGCGGCCAGCGACAACAACGAACTGAAAATGGTTTGTAACTGAAACGAGGGGCAGCTCGTTAATTTTATAGAGCCGCGGCCAACGTTGCGTATGAGCGACGGCAGCAAACTGAATCGCCGAAACGCTGCAAACAGTGCGCACGATACGTATGCGGCCAACATGTTTGAGCGAACCTGTTCGACGCTTCGCTGGTTATGTGGGTGCACGAACAACAAGAAGAACCCATAGTTGGAGCGGGTTACAGTTGGTCGACGGACGACTCGGCTTATCACTAGAAATTAAGACAAAAGCCGGGCTGCTTCTACTGATGCTGCTGCTGCTGCTGCTGTTGCTGTTGCTGTTGCAGCATAACGAAAATTAAATGAGACCACAAAATAAAACAAGCAGCAGAAGAGGCAGTAACTGAAAGAGGAAGACGATAAAGAACAGACTTCCCGTTGTAAAGCAGTTACGTCTTCATCTCTCGCTCACATTCTGGGAAAATAAAATTAGCTTGAAGGCCTTCGCAATAAAAATAAAGGCATTTAATGAGATGACAAACTAAGATGGTAAGAAGTTAAAAAAAAAAATTGAATATTCGAAAACTGACTAAATATCGAAATGTTCTTAAAATAAATGAATAATAATGATACAATTTATTTAAAATATTGAAATAAATAAAGCCTTTAATACAATGTCAAGTTAAGATGCTAAGGAGTTTAATCAAACCAAAATTAAATTATTAAAAAATTAACAAAATAAATAAATGCTAATAATAATAAAACTTTTTTTTTAATATTCAAATAAAATCCTATTAATTAAATATTATATAATAAAGAAACCGTTTTTTACGCTTAATAATGACAGATAACTTAAATTAATAATAATAATAAACTTACTTAATATAGAAAAAAAAAAAAAAAAATATTAATAAATAATAAAAAAAAACGGGTTTTTATGCTTCATAATTTGCTTTAACTCCATCTAATTTTGTTTTAATTTAAAAATGAAAAATCAAATATTTTCTATTTTAATTTATGTATGTACATATGAGTTTTCAATTTATTTTATGTATTTATAAATTTATACATTACATAAGAAGTATACCAACCATAATCAAAATATATACACATATACCCTTAAACGTGTTTAATCAAACTTTTCACAGCTGTTCGCGAAATCCATTCAGAGCTTCTGGTTCACTACATGCCAACCTACTCAGTGATCCTATGCGTGGGAACGAACTGATTCCATGTGCACGGCCACCCAATGAATTTTGTTGCATTTCACTCGAAAAGGAGCTCGTGGGAACAGAGAAGAGCAAGAGCGAGCATTGTGGAACTTGTGCCAACAAATTGACGTTTCTTTGGCTACAAATTGGCGTGGCCCGCGTTTCACACCGTCTCCAATACGTTTATTGTTGTTGTTTTCGTTTTTGTGTTGCCTTTAAATGATTTTCCATTTGCACATTTCACACAGCTAAATGTTTGCCTTTCATTTCGTTGTTGTTGTTGTTACTGCCAGTGGCAAAAATTTTCATTCATAAAAAAAGGTGAACGATTGTGGGCGTCTCGAGTGCCGAGCATTGAGCGCGAAAAACAATAAAAGGCGAGGAAGAAGAAGAAGAAGAAAAAAGAAGAAGCAGCAGCAACGGCAACGGCAATGGCCTAGGCAGACGAACAGGCGTAGAAATCGTCGAGCGAAAGGGGGCGATTGTAAGAAAAGGGGTGTCGCACGCAAAAGAGCGAGAGAGGGGATCAGGAAAAGACAGACAGAAGAGCCAAGAAAGAATACGGACAAAGTTTTGCACAAGTTTGTCGCCATTGTTGTTGTTGTTGTTATTGTTGTCGCCTCTTTTACGTTTGTATTTATTTATACTTATTAATACAACACACATGTACAGCTATCTGTGTGTGTGTGTGTGTGTGTGTGCGTATTTTTATTTATTTTCTTTTTATTCAACGCGCGCCTTACAAAAAAGAAAAACGGAAATTTTGGTTTCCAAATATTTGTTACATTTTTTTTTTTTTTTTTTTTTTTTTTTTTTGTTTGAAAAGAGAAAAACAATACGAAATTGTAACTGTACCTAATGTAAGTATGTATATATGCTGCTAACTGTATGTGTATGTGTGTGTATTTGTGTGCGTGTGTGTGAGTGCCCGACTTGTCACATTGCTAAAACCCCAGTAACCCAAAGCCAGGCAGTTGGCATTTGTGCGGTTTTTTGTACTGTAAAGCTCCAACGAGCGACTACCACAGCCATTTGGCCCCTCTTGCTGTCCCTATCCCCTTCCCCTACCCACTCACCCTCATCACTAACGGTGTAACCCCATCAAAACGAACAACATCTAACGAAAAATGTCGAGGCAATGCCAGCAAAATGTTAGAGACCAAAACAGAAACAGAACAGAACAAAACAGAACAGAAAATGAATACAGGGACTCACACAAACTGTTGGTCGATAAGGTTGTCCAAATCAAAACATTGAGACCGAAGACGTCTGCTCGCCTGGGCAGACAGTGGGCGGGGCCAGCAGCCTGTGACATAGGCAAACAAAAGCGGCGAGGGCTTAGGGATAATACCTAGTTTGAGTTGGCTCAATTTGGCTATACCCTGCAAACATAAACTAGGTTACCATGGGTAGGCTGCAACTGTGTGTGTGAATGCGAGTAACATAGGAAATTCAATTATTAAAGTGAGAACAGTTAGGAAATAGAAATATTGAAAAAGGATAAACAAAGAATCAAATCAGTTCTAATAGTGGTAGAATGAGCACTTCTTAAATGGTTTTCGTATACTGTGAAATAATATTATTATAAGAAAGTGAATTTCAAATTTAAAAATCCTTTGAAAGATTGCTTTATTCTAGAAAGAAGCTTTAAAATATATCTGCAATTTTTTTATGTAAAAAGATATATTCTAGTCATATTGGAAAATCAAGAAACAAATGTAAAATTTATTAAATCTCCATCAAGAGATACCATTAGGATAACAGAGCCAAAGCTTAATTAGGAAATAGTTGAATCTTGATTTCAACAATTCAAACAGAATGGTCTGAAGAAATAAGAGAACTTGTTCTGAAAATGTTACTATCAAAATATTTCAAGATATTAAACGCCTTAATCTAAACCATTTCTCATTCTTGCGACTACAAATAAAACAAATATTTAAAAAAAAATTAAAATAAATGGAATTCAGAGAACAGTGTTTCCCTTCTCTCAAGCTTTCATTTGCAAACAGGATATCCCCTAGTCAATCACACTCCAAGCTATCCCTCTTGAGTTTTTCATTTATAGCCTGAAGGCAATCGTACACTGGGTTAGAGTTAAGCCCTCGATTATACTTTAAGCTCGCCTCCAATTTTTGAATTTCTCAAGATTTATGCGCCACGAAGGGAAATACCCAGAAAAAATAACTTTGATGAGGGACACATAAAGCAGACAGCAAGGGCAAAAGAGCTACATAAAGAACAGCTGCTGATATATAATATTTGATTTTAAATTTTCAAGTTCTTGCATTTCTTTTCATCTTCCTTTTCAATTTAATGCCAAATAAAGTAAGTTTTGATTAAGTGCCAAATTGATGGACAAACGACAGATGCAGGGCGAGAGCTTATAACTATCCCACAGAGATAACAATAAGATGGAATTGAGTCAGAAAAAGGCAAAACCTTTCTTTCTTAGAGACATATTATGTATGTAGGCCTCGCAATTATGTTTTTTTTTTTTTTTTTGCTTTTCTTTTCTTCTCCTATTTTCCAGAAATTGAATTTAATTGGGTCTGCAAACAAAACCCGAATCTTGAGCCGGGCATAAAGCAGCGTAATTAAAGCGAAATTTACTGAAAAGCATCCCAAAGAATATGAAAGTAAACTGTAATTGAATAGGGACAAGCTGACCCTATTATCAAAGTTGGCCCAAACAAATTAAAAAGCCTTAAGAAGCAATTAGGAAATAAATTTAAGAAATGTTTTAAGAGTTTACAGTTTACACTTTCCTGCATAAAGTTTACATTAAGACAACATTTATAACTAAAATACGAGCATAATTTTTTTTTTTTTTTCAAATTCATATCCGACTAATCAATATGTTTTTATTTGTAATTTTAAAATTAGGCTTACACAAACATATTTTTAAATATATTTCACTTGTTTATAAGCCCAGAAAAATATATTTTTAACTATTTTATTAAGCATATTAAAAAAATAGTTTGTTTATTGATCATAATTTATTTTATTTTTGAAAAGTTTTTTTTTGTTAACAAATTCAAAAGTTTTTTAAATTAATTTAAAATATATATTCTAACAAAAAAAAAATTTGTTGTTTAAATTTTATAATAATGTTTTAAATGAATTTCTGGCGCTGCAAGAAAAATCTTCATATTTTTGTTCTTTTGTAGTTTTTGGCTAACAAAAATATATTTTCAAGGGCACATTTGCATAACCAAGCGCAGAAGGACAAATCTAGCAACTGTTAGTCAACAAATGTTGCCTTATTTTCATTTTATTTTTATAGATGTATATACTTATATTATTTTTTATTTTATGTGCAGCACAAATAATGCATGCCTCATTTGTAGCTGCACCTGAAGGCTTATTAAATTCAACGAGCTTGCACAATATTAATGCATACATACATGTGCATACACATGTATATATTTACATATTGTTGGTCAAAGCTTCTGCGTCTTCCTGTTGACAAACAGCCATTACAGCAACAACAGCAACAAGATGAGCAACAAAATGAAATTATGATACCACAAGTCAGAGGAGCAACAAACCGGCCGAGCCAGTTGGCAGATTCGATTTACGTCAACATCATCGTCTGTCGGCTGTTCCGCACACACACACCCGACACCCCAAGCCCCGCACCACACACCCGACACCACACACCCGACACACGCACACATGCATCCGGCGGTTAGGGGCAGTCATGTAAATGTGATGCACATCCCTGTCCCTCTCCCTATCACTGTGCTCCTCTATGTATCGCAACTGGCTATCTCTTTCTTTGTCTATGTTTCCCGCTTCGCATGCGATATAATTATTAATAATAAAAACAAAGTGAAAATGTTGTTGCTGTTGCTGTTGTTTGTGTTGTTTTTGTTGTTGTCTCTGTTGTCGCTGTCCTCGTTGATGCATTTCCGCTGGGCTGCACTGTGACTTGCGTAGGTAATTAACACACACAGCAGGAGGGGCTTCTGGCTGACAGCACAGCCAGTGGAAGTCCGTCATCAAAGTGGACACCAGAGACAGTCGAGACAGCAGCTAAAACTGTGCGACAATTGAAAACTTTTTCCCGTAAGTGTTTTTCTCTACTCTAACAAAATGGGGCATCCGCAGCAGTTGAACTAACTAACTTTAAGATCTTGTTATAAATCTGTTGCTAACTAAGCTTAGCACAAAACTTTTAACTTTCAGCTCAAAAAAGTTCGAAGTTAGTTAAAAAAAATTTCCAAGCGAAGAAACAAAAGAAAAACTTAATAATAAAAAAAAAAAAAATCACAAGTTTTAAAAAGTTTAATATAAACAATAAATATAGTCGATTAAGTAACTAATGCTAAAACCATTACTTTATTAAAATTATTATTAAACTCGATTTAAGACAGAAATAAAAACAATGAAAAGATAAACATATAAAAAATATTATTATTCTAGAAAAAAAATATTAAATATTTTTTATTTATTTATTTTTTCTAATAATTAATAATAATAAATAATAAAAAAAAAGTTTTTTTGGTACCTCAAAAATCATAAAGGCTGTAATATTCAACTCTGTTGAAAACCCTTTTACTTAAACCTCTATTTAGGCTGCCTGCGAATTAATTTCATTTGCTAGCGTTTAAAAGTCCCTACATTTCCTTTCAACTTTTATTATCAAATGTTTTTTTTTTTTTTTTCGGTCCTTTTTTGTTTGCTTTTATTTTCCCTTGTTTTTTTGCTTTTTTATTGTTTATTTTATTTTTATCGTGCTTGACTTTGGCAGTGCGCTAATTATGACATTTTTCTTTCGAGCAATTACTGCCAAATGCTTGAGAGCACATTCAACATTAAGTATACGCCCCGTCCCGCCCCCATTTTCCCCTTTTTCGTCGCTCAGTAGCTAATACCCCTTGCTGCGCAGCTCGTGTATTTTGCTTTTCATTTGAAATTAAATTAAATGCTTATTTTTAAACTCGATTTGTAAAATTACATTTCGGGGATTTGGCATTAATAGTAGCAGCTGATGAATTTAGCTACATATATGTTTATGTGTATGTGTGTTTGACTTATGTTTGCTTGATTTTTATATAACTTTTATTTATGTTTGAAAACTTGGCACAGTTTTCACCCCAGCCAAATTGCAGCATGACGCAATTGACACGGCGACGAACGCTTTGAATTTTCTCCCAGATTTTCTTTGCGTCTTTTTCTGTATACCCTGCACCCATTGAAAATGGGAAATGAGTATAACGGTTGCGCTAAAATGTATGTAATAGGCAAAAAGAGGCGTGACAGACCTCATGAGGAATATATTCTTGATGAGGGAGACGAGCTGATAGATGTCAGATCTCAAAGCCTTTAAAAGGTAGAGACTTCCAAGAAAAGCTAGGCATATATGCAGTTATCAATTCTCGTAGTCGAGCAGTCTCGACTAGATTACGCTTACTTATTTTCTTCTTGTATCTTTTGGTTTTCGATTTTTGGCTTCAATTTGTTGGCAGCCAAATTGCAAACTAAATGTGCAGCAACAAATTATACACTGTAGTCATTATTCTGCAGTTATTTCGCAGGCATACGTTAATTACTTGCAAATTGCGTATACGACGCGTTGTCTGCTAAAATATAATTTATTCTAAAATTCTATTACTTGACGCACGCAGCCAAACCAAACGAAATGATTGCCACAAATCAGCAGATTAAATCGAAATTACTCATTATTATGCGAATAGCTATCATAAATATAATTTTCACTTGCCTCATCATTTTCGTGAACATCATCATCATCGTGATCATTAGAAAACGTGCCAACTTAGCCGTGGCCAAGCAGCTACAGCACAATTTATT